ACCGAGGCTCGCGGAGGCGGGCCGGTTGAGGCAGCGGCGGGTCTCAATGCACTCAAGCACTGGACAGCGCCAGTTTCGGGTTCGAATCCTCGTCCTTCATTTTCCTGGCAAGAGCATCCCTTCCACCAGAGAGCATTTTTCTGGCAAGAGCATTTCTTCCACTCAGGAGCATTTTTCCCGTGCGAGAGCATTTTCCCGCGGAGCAAGCATTTCTCTGGCGGGAGAATTTTTCCTCCCGACGGTAGAAGACGGATGGGCCAAGTGCGCCGTGATAAGGGGGGGGAGGAAGAAGTAAGGGGATGATTCGAGGTGCACCTTGGGCTGGCCGGCCGCACTGGGTCACGGTCGTCACGGTCAGGCGGCCGGGGCGGGGTAGGGGGAGGATGTGCCGTCTAGTGTGCGTACCGCCCCCCGCCCCCTCCCCCGCGGCGTTCCAAGGCGAGACGGCCTTCCCGGCCCCCGGATTACGGCAAGGTATAAAGCACGAAATTAATTTGGCGCGGGCTGCGCGCCACGCGGCGCCACGCGGCGCTGCGCCGGAGTCCTTTCTCCACCTTCATTCCGCTGGGAGGACAACATTCCGCTTCTTTTCCTCCCGCGTCTCCCCGGGGGGCCGCCGAGCGCCGCCCAGCTTCGCGGAGGTCGTCATCGAGTCCCCCAGTCCCTCCGCGGCGCTCCGCGGGGAACAAGGGATGAGGGGCCAGCTACTCGGCCGTACTCGGCGCGAACACGCGACTCAGCGCGTTTCCGAACGGCTTGCTGCGCAGCCCGATAGATTCGGCACTGGCACACTCTCCCCGCGAGCACGCCGTCGATACATCTGCCGGCCTCAGCGCGTTCGGAGCGAAGGGCGCCTCTTCCTTGCCTGCCGTGCCGTGCCGCGCCGTGCCCGCCGATCTCTCTCTCCGCTCCAGTTCCCGACGGAGCGGCATTCTTCGCAACTCTACCTCGCCTGCCTCGCCCGCCTCGGCTACCGTGTCCTCGGGGACGCGACCCAGCACACCGATTCCGAGCGGGACCTCTCTCTCCTCCTCGCATTCGCGGGTCACCCGGTGCGGGCGCGAGAGAGACAGACGGGAGCCCCTCCAGCAGGGAGGCGGCCCCGCACGCCAGGACGGCCAAAGCACGCGGTCCCACAACAAGTGCGGGGTCACCGCGACGACGACGGACGCGTGACGTCACGGGGTCGGCCCGTCGGGCCCGTCGGCCGGGGATGGATTCACGGCGGCTGTGGGATTGGCCGGCACCGAGGGGCCCGACCCGACCGACCGACCCGGACCCACCGGCCGCCAAGTTTATATTGCCCCGCAACATTGTTATGAATCCCGTTAGGGGGTGCGCCCCCGCCCCGCCCCGCCCCGTGCGACGAGCCCCTCGGGGACGCCGCCGAACGCGGGCAGGCACGCCGCACATGTGCGGGGCCCTCACTGCGGGCCCCCCAAGGGGCCGCCACATTGATTTTCATCGCCGAATTTTTTCGCGACACCACTGGAAAAAGGGCCGACGCCGCCACGACAGCGGTAGTGCGCACGTGTGCGCCCTTAAGGGAACGGGACAAACGAGCACGACGATCCTCGCCAAACGACGCCAAAAAACTAACATTCTTTTTCGCCCGTCTTTTTCCCCTTCAAGAGGAGTGATGCAGTGAGTTGACGCGCCGGGCCGCGGCAGGGTAGCAATCTGAGGCTCAGTCATCAGGGTTCGCCCGGAACGCCACCGTAAAGCTTGCTTTACAGCCGCGGCTTTACGTGCTGAATCGATCACAGGTGGAGGAAGCGAAAAAAAAAAGACAAGAGAGGAAAGAAAAGAAGAAAAAACTGCTTTTGTGCTGGCCGTGTCTTTCTGTGAGTTGCAGGGCCATCAACTTGAAGCCCACGTGGGTGTGGGCGGCGGGGGCGGAGGGAGGGCTGGGGCGGCAACATTGTAGGAGTGCAAGTGTGGAATGTGTCCCCCGCAGCGGTGCCAACGCTTCAAAATGAACAGAGTCCCCTCCCCTCTACACACACCTTCACCCGCACACCTACACACTGTCGCGTTCCCCTTCCCCCAACACCACCACAATTCATATTTGGCGCAATACGTGTGCCGCGGCGGGCCGGCAGTGTAAACTCCCATGTGTCAGGCCAAGCCACCGGAAAGCCACTCGCGCGCCAAACGAAAGCTCGGCCCATACCCGCGGCGGGGCCTAACGACAACACACCTGGCTCCCCCCCCTCTCCCACCTGCGCCCTAATTGAACCCCCTCCTTCCTGTTTTCCCAGTGCCCTTTCCAGTATCACTTCGCGAGACTAGCCCCGCCCCCCTCGCGAGACTCGCGAGACTAGCCTCGAGGCTGCTTTATTATGGTGTAAGATGACTCCCAAACAACACCCACGCCGAAGTCTGCACCGCCTGCACAGCGGTGATGATGTTGCTCTTCGTCTTGCACTCAGCGGCAGCGGTGGAGCAAAACCTGGCTAATTAGGAAAACAAACAAACACCAAGGCGCGGCCCAGGCGCGGCCCACGCCCTGCCCGTCCAGGGCTTGATTGACTCATAAAGCGGCCAACGCCGAAAGCGCGAAGGCGGGCCAGCCAAAGCCAGCCAAGCCAGCGAAGCCCTGCAGTGCCACATCCAGCCGAGCGGCTAAGGACAACAGCCGGACAAAGCAGCGGGCCTCGTGAGCCGTGACGCGGCGACGCGGCGGCGAAGCGGCCCGGGGTTTCCCGGCGCCACTCCTCGCGCCGTCACGTGCCCGTCAAACGTGATGGCCGCCAGTCCGGCCGCCCCCTGACGCCGCGCCGCCCACCACGCGCCCACCGGAGCCCACCGGCGTGCCCCCCCTTCCCCCCGCGAGGAAAACGTGACGAAGCCGTGACTCAGGCGGGCCGTCGTTAGACCGCTCGTACAAGCCAGCAGACGACGCACCGCCACGAGTCAACAGGTCACGAGTCCCGCCGGGCCGAGGGGGAAATCACTCTTAAAAACTGTGACCCGACTACTCCCTATTACGTTCTATTACGCTATTACAGAAGGCTTATTACGCTCGAAAATATCCAGATTTAGTCTAAATTCGGACCCTAAATAGGGAAAATCTTTAAAAATTTGGCTATTACGCTATTACTATTACGCGTAATACTAGGAATCGGTGACCCGACTATTACGCGAGTGATTTCCCCCTCGCGCCGGGCCGTGTTGTTGTTGTTGTGACTGTTGTCCTTGCCGGGATACCACAACAAGCCCCGCTGTCCGCAAGCCACTAGCGTATGCCCTTTCCGGGCTTCGCGGCTTGGCGTCGCGCTGGCCGAGCCGCGCCGAGCCGCGCATCCCGTAAAGGGTGGCGTGGCGGTTCGGTTCCCCTCGCCAAACTCACAAAACCGCGTCACTTATTCAGGGGTTTCGCCGCCAGCGCACAATGAAGTGGCGGCTTGCGACAAAGTGACCACAAAAACAAAGTCTTGACAAAAATGCTCTAATGAGCAAAAATTAAAGTTTCTGCCCAACACCATAAACAACAACAAAATGCCCTTTGTAGAGACCGGCTGTTTACCAGTTCTGGTGGCGGTCGTGCCGAGAGCCTGCCTTTCATTTTACCTAACCATCCGCAATGGCCGTGATAAATGAAGTTTCCAGCAGGATTGGCGGCCTAGTATTATAATGGGGGGCAGCCGGGCCACCAGGCCGCCAGGCCAGGGCCCCTAGGGGTGCCAACCTCAGAGCCCCTTGCGCGTCGAAGCTTCAAGCTTTGCGAAGCTGCGGCCTTGAACGGGACGCCACCGTCGCGGCCCTCTGCGGCCCTCGGCGGCCCTCGGCCCGCGTCATGGCCCGCGCCGGTAACTAAATGAGCCCAGCAATCGATATTTATCGGAATAACGTTTCCGCGCCGAGGTGGGGCCGCGCCAGCATTTCGGAGGGCGCGCCAAAATCAAGATTGTGTGCCCTCTCAGAAATAAAAGCGACAACGCCGCAAATTTTTGCTTCCGGAGATTTTTTGTGGGGGAAGAGGGGGTGAAATACGAGATTGTCGTGTGACAACAGGCCTGTGTTCAAAAAGCCTAGAACCAGGTGACTCGATTTAACGGAGCGGCCCCTGGGCGGCGGGCCTTTTTTATTCCACTCGGTTTGACTCAAAAGCAAAAGAAGTACATTTTTATGGACATTTTTTCCCCTTTACAGCTGTGAAAAGTGAAGTGTCGCTTGAATCCGCGCCGGAGTTTGAGTGTGTACTCGCAGCCACCTCGCCAAGCGAGCAAAGCCGGGGCGGCAGGGAAGTCGCGCCGAAAGCAAACCCAGAGCATGGAGGACTTTCCCCTCCGGTTCGTTTTAAAACGCTGCGCTGACGAATCGCGCGAGGCGTCATTTAATGTCGGGGCACGTTTCGTTTCCCCTTGGCCGTACACGGGGCTGGGTCCGAATCTTCCGTCTCCCACTCACGGAGGGTGCCGTGCGAGCGAGAGAGATCCACCTCCCCGAAGTGCCGCCATTTCCTCGGCCCTGCTCCCCCTCGAGCCGCGCCGTGCCGCGCCAATGGCACCAATGGCCATGCCCGTGACCGCGGCGAACAACGATTTGGCCGTGGCGCCGGGGGAGGGGAGGGGGAGCGCGCGGACTGAGTGAGGTTCAAGAGTGACGGTTCGATGGAGTCGGCAGTCGGGGGAACAGGGCGGGCCGGGGGTGGGCCTGCCAGTATGCACGCCAGGCGGGCCAGGAGGAAAGTGAAAGAGGGGCCGAGTGCTTTAGGGACGGACGCTAGATTGCCAGACGGCGGCCGACGGCGGCAAGGAAGGGCGGACCCTCCCCCGGCCTTCCCCTTGGCTGGCGCTGGGCCCCGGCGCGCGGAGTGGCGTGGCATTTGGGCCGCGGGGCCCGCACTCGAAGAAGGGGCGGTGGGGCGACACAGTCGCGGAAAGTTCACCACACTCGTCTCGCTGGCACCAAGCCGACGGCAGCGGCCCGGCGGTCACATCACTGCCGGGCCATCAGGCAATGCCATCAGGCAATCGGAAGCAAATTGTACTCACTCTTGCCGGCGGTGGTCTTGCGCATGCTCTGGCGCGCCACCACGCAGCACACCAGCACGTTGGACGTGAAGCCGGTGGCCGCGAGCAGGGCGTACAGGAGCACCAGGGCGATGCGCAGCAGCGGCGTGTCCAGGGCCGCGTCGCCGGGGTACAGGTCCGCGTCGCTCCAGGGCGCGCCGGGGCCCAGCTCCAGCAGGCCGTCATGCTGCAGGTCCGTCACCACGGGGCTGGCGTTGACCTGCTGGGGAAGACGAGCACACGTTACGAACGCCGAGCACGCCGAGCAGATCGAGTCACTGGCAGTGCCGTCTCGTCGTCAGACGGGACGACGACGTCACACGCCGTTTTGCCGCCATCACCACGACATCCGCGACGTCGCCGAGCTCGCCGAGCGGAGCAGACGCCGCCAAAGTGACGGCATGTCGGCAATAATCCGAGACGCTGCTCCTCGAGTGGCATCTCTCTTTCCCTCGCAAGTGCGACTCTCCTGCGCCACTCTGCGACGCCATCGTGAATAAATGAATAAATATTTTGCCTTGCGACATGCACTCCCGCTTCTTTCCGCGGGAACCTGTCCTTTTTGGAAATGTTCATGGTAAAGGGTGCCGCTCATGAAAAGGTCATCATGATTTTTTCAGCGCATTTCAAAATACATATAAGATTATTATATATTTGCTACCATTATCTTACCCCCACCAACGTCTTAGGCCAGCGAGTCGAGTAAACCTTGTAAGGGGAGCCGCGCCGCCGCGCCGCGCACCGGAGGCGGGGTGAGGGGTGCCACTGTTTCAGCCGCCGGGGCAGAATCAGTCTCACTCTCTTGGCTTCGCTGCTTCGCCCTGCCTCTGGCACAATGTTTTAAGAAAATACGATTGGTTTCTGGACTTGAAAGCAGTTAACTTCATGAAGATTCTACTTTTCTGGTCCGTTTTAAGGTGTCAGGGTATTCGCAATCGAAAGGTTAACTTTTTATAATTTCGAGAAAACGGCATTTCTAGGCATGTCTATAGACACAGCCGGGGGCGGAATGCCTGCACTCCGCATTAATCAATCCTCCCTGTGGCTGCCAGCCCCGCCAGCCCCGCCATTGTGACGAGTCCGCCGCGCTCCCGAACTCCGGCGGCGCAACAAGCCGTGGTAAAGGGACAGGCAGCAGCCGGGCCGGACCGCAACAACAACAGACGCAAATACCCGCAGCACTACCGGAATTAAATTCCGCGGGTACGGCTCGGGCCGGGCGGTACCACGTCATGGCCGGCGGCGTGGCAGTGGTCTCGTGGCTGCGGCGCCGCGGTGGTGGGTGTGGCGGTGCAGAGCCGCGTAACTGCGGCAACGGCGGGACGTTCCGGGCGTCGTATACCACGTTTACCGCCCCGCGGACTTGAACCCGAACCACAATCTGCTGATATGGACGACACCGCGCCGTTTTATACGGCAGCAGGAAGACGGCGACTTGCTCACGGCGCGCGCTTGCCGCGGGTTCAACGCCCGGCGCCGGCGGGGACAAAAAAAAACACGAAAAAATACAACATAAACAACGGAGGCGCACAACATGCCGCGGCGATGTCGCCAAGGAGGCCAAGCAGGCCGAGCACACCTGGCGTGACGCAGCTGCCGCTTTCCCGGACGAATAAGTGGCATGCATGTTTGTCTGGCAGGCTGTCTCTGTGTGTCGTGCCCCGCGCCCCACGGGTGCGAGAGGGACAGAGCGACGACAGGCGGAATCAGGCAGCACAGGCCTTCCCTTCCCCCCGCCCACGGCCAAACCGCACCACGCCGACCTGCTCGCTTCGGTCAGAGCGAGTCGCAGCGAGTCCAAACAATGGAAAGCTATTATAAACTTTCACTTTGTGAGCAGCAGAAAGGCAAGGCAGCGCTGCAGCAGCACCGCGTCTCTCTCTGACGTCATCAACTTTCCTCTCCGCGAATATTAAGAGCGCGAAAACTCGATTAGTCGCCGTGGCCGGCACGTGCTTTGGCGCGCTTTTAACGGGCCGCCGCGAGTCGAACCTCGTCACTGTGGCCCAGAGACGAGTGCGAACGCGAAAAAAAAGAGGAACAAACAAACTTTGGCCGCGACGACACAATTTGGTCGCCGTAACTTCCCTGCCGCCTCATTTCGCCCTTAATGACCGGAGAAGTGATTCCCGTTTGCTTTCGCGCGCCGAGTTCGAAAGGCCGGGGAGTGTAAATCAAGTGGCGTGACACGCGCGCGACAAGCTCACCACCACTCGATGCGGACAACGGACGGCCGGGGAAAGTTATGAGGAACGGCTGGGAGGGGGCGGTGCATGTGCGGTCGGCCTCGCTCGGCCCGGCCCGATGGGGATGATGAATTGCTGCGAGGCACAACGGCCGAGGGGGCGAGGAGGGATAGGGCTCGGAGTGCCGCTTCGAGTGGTCGGCCGCACGCCGAGCCGCACGGCCCGCTCGGCCACTCGGGACGAGGGCTGCGGTCGTCCCGCTCCGCTGCAGGCTGCAGCCCCGAGAGTGCACATCACACCCCGGCGGGCCGAGTGCCCGTCTGGGTGGAGCTGGCCAGCTAATTCTGTTGGGTCTGCGACTGCCAGCGCCTGTGCCAGGACGGCCGGGGCCTGCTAACTTTACCCGAGGTGAAGCTACCCAAAGGATTGAGCGAAATCCAGCATTTGAGGAACGACAAAGTGAGCAGGCGTGCGGGGTCAACGCCGCCCTGCTGCCGCGCTCACGCGCGCGCTGCGGTCGGGTCAACGGCGTCCGTCCGCGGCTCTTCCAAGAAGGCCCTCTCACAGGCCAGCCTAGTTACGGAGTCACCACGCGCTGTTTTTGCACAGTTGTCTGTCACAACACGCGGTGGCGGGCCCAGATAACAGAGTAGTACGCCAGCCGGGGGGCCTTGTTGGCTGGAGGGTGCCGACACTTAAACTTGTTGTGTATAGCCCCCTTGTTTACGATGTTACAACAGTAAATTACGGCACGTCTTCCTTCGCGATTTGCTCAAAGTGTGTGTGTGTGCGTGAGAGAGACGGAGAGGGCTGAGCCGGCGGGCTTCCTCGCTGAAAGCCGACCTGTCTCTGGCACGGCGAAAAGCGAATCGGCATTGTCCCTGTCCTTCTCCCGCAGCCGCGGCGGACTGAATGCCCGTGACATCACTCTCTCCGCAAAACGGCGGCTCGGAACACAGGTGTAAATGGGATCAGGATTTTCTGATCACCTAGCGCTGATCACTTTCTGGATCAGAAAATTGAAGATCAGGAAAAAACCTGATGCTTTTTCGAACACCTTTTCTGATGTTTTTTTTCCTGATTCCTGATCACGTTTCTGATCAGCGTGGCTCTGATCACCTCGGGTCTGATCACCACTGGAGTAGAATCAGAAATTGTATTATCAGAAATGTAACGATATCTGACTCAGGATATTTTCACGGTCATGAAAGGTACGGAGATGAGGCAAACGGCTCTAGGGGGTCGAAACTGAGTCCGATCCAATTCTGCAATCCGTTTCACGCTAGCTCGCCATCAGCTCTCAAAATGCCAGAAGATATGGTCTAAATTTCATGACCTTGAAAATGCCCTAGCCAAATGTCGCGAACATACCGCTCACCAAATTTGAAACCAAAATTCCGAAAACTTTCTGTTTTACAGGCATCTAGATTTTTGAGACATCACGATTTTCTGATAGTTTTGCATGTTATCAGAATGTCTATGTTTTCTGATGACTCTATTCTGATCACTGTCTGATCACTTTTCGGATCAGAAATTTTCCCTGATCAATAATTAGCGATCAGACTTTTTCTCTGATCATTTCACAGTTATCAGAAATTCTTGCAATTCTGATGCCAATTTTTCTGATAGTACGCCAATGATCAGAAAATCCCAAATTTTATCAGAAAAATGGGTAAATGATCAGAAAATCCTGATCCCATTTACACCTGTGAATGCAGTCGGCACTCGTTGCCTGCCGAGGGCTGCCCCCAATGCAGCCGAGACGACTGTCGCTGAGCCTGTTCTTCCGGGGCGCGCGGCACGCGACGCAAAAATAAGCTGCCTAGCCTACTTTCGGAGCCATGACGATTACGGGAGTGGCGGGGCGGGGCGGGTCGCCGTGCAAACACTGGCCGAGATGGCGGAGCAGATTGGGGGTGGCGGAGCGAGGCGGGGCGCTGCTGGGGGCGGTCATGACGTCATGAGGTCATTCACAGCAGCTGCACGCCCGCCGCTGCACCCTGCACTACTTAATTTTCGGTCAGTGCCCCGGATGTGGCCGAGGGAAACTTGGTACGAGGATCGCCACTTCTTCCACATGCCACGTCACTCCCCCTTCCGCAGTTGGTGGTTGCAGCGCTGCGCGCAGAGTGGTTCCGTCCGCCGCGAGTCAGTCTAAGCCTCTCGACCAAGACGACGGCACCGAGCGTTGGCAGAGCCCATGCTCACTTGTAAGCGTACTTGTAAGGCTAAAAGGATTATCAGCATCCCGGCTATCAGTTCGCACCAGTCGCTTCAACAGAATTTTAGTTGATGATCACAAGCAGCAACGGCAGTCCAAGTCCAATCAACGAATTCTTCTTTGGGGGTCGTTTCGGTGGCGCGGGGCTGCTAGATCTACATTTCAGGCGGCATTGCTCACACTGCCCGCCTACTTTGGGACTGCACCGCAAACCACACACGCCTGCTGTCAGCCTGCCAGCCGCTCACCGCGGAGACGGGATTGTACCCAGGGGCCTACCGCGCCGGGCCCCGGCCGGGGTCGTGGACCTGGCGGCGTGGCGGGGACCGGGGCTACGTAACGCAGCGCGTAACAGGTCGCTTACCGCCAAGTCGGGACGTGCCGCGAGCCCCGCGAGCCGCATCCCAGTGCCCACTCGGCCCACGCACCCCTCGCGCGTTTCGCGCGGCCAGCACACACTCAAAAACACAGCAACAATACTTTCACAGGCAGAAAACAAAACTCTTTTAGGCGTCTTGCTAAATGTCACATGGGGAGTTGTGGCAGTTTTTTAACGTGAAAATGGAATGCTGTAATCTTTTACGCCAAAGCAAAGAAAGCAAGGATAAAGTCGAAGAACAGCTTTCGAACAGATGGGACACGCACGAGAAAACGGCGTCTCTCACTGAAAGGAAACGTCTCCCCGGAGGCTTTGTAATAGATTGTCACGTCGGCGCTTTTCGGGGTCTGCCTAGCCGTGCCTGGCTGCCCGCCTCTCAAGGGGGCGTTTCGCGTCCCTACCTGTTCGCCTGTGCGCGCACCACCACACCATCGCAG